AAATACTGCGAATCGTGAACGTACATCCTCCTCTCTCTCTCTCTCGATATGGCGATATGAAAGATGAAAAAAAAAAAAAAAAAAAGGAAGAAAAAAATCTCGAGAGGATAAACGCGTTGATTTCTGATGAAATCTCAATCTCGTTGTCCTTCTACTTATTAAGAAACTTACACACGCTTGACGTTATATTGGAAGACGAGAGAAGAAGAAACGTGGGGTAGAATCAAGGAGGGAAAAAAATCATGGGCTTGAAGAATCATTTTTTTTAAGAAAAAAGAAAAAAAAAAGAAAGATCGAAGAGGATAGAGCCACGTCACCGTTACAACAAAACGTCGACTTCGTTGTATTTCGCTGGGTCGAAAAATCAACTCGAGAATATCGCGCGGCCTCACGAATCGAAAATTCTGGCGGAGATAGGGGCGGCGACCTTGCACGAAACTGGAGTACATTTTCATATAAAAGCACCTTTGCACCTTTCCGTTAAAATAACGAGCGTCTGAAAAGTAGGAATTCGTATCCGGAGATGAGAGGGATTGGTGGTGAGAGCTCGCGTGGACGGCACGCCGCTTTGTGCGACAGCTTTTGTGCGTATGCGGGCCGAGGTTCGAGCGTCGAGGCTCGCTGGTGAAAATGGGCCAGGGTTATACGGAAACGGAAGGAGAGAGAAAAAAGGAAAAAAAAAAAGAAAAAAGAAAAAGGCGTGAGAGGTCGGCGGAGCACTGGATATTAGAGGGTGCTTTATTCTTCCATTTTTTTTCTTCTCTCTCTCCTCTCTCCTTCCCGTCCGGGCTACTGCCACCTCCTGGCAGACAGGGCGTTGCGTACCTGATCGTTCCGTCGTTTTAACGTCCCCGTTTTTACCCAACCTTGTCTGCCGCGAACGGCGCTGCCATCGTCGCGCGAGCCCAACTTTTCACCTCGCGTCGAATTATCCAACCCCTGTCTCATTGCGTATCCCGGCACAAATATTTCAAATATTTTCTCGATATATTCGATGATAGGATATATCTCTTTCTCGTTTATCGCTCGATTCATCTCTCAATTAACTGATCTTTTCTTTATCTTCTTATCTTCTTTGCCTTGTCGTTTCGAGGAGAAAGGAGCGGAGGAGTTTGCGGAATCAGAGGTCGTACGGAATTGAATGGATCGCGCGGGATGAAGAGTCTCCTGGCGAGATTTACGCGCTCATCCATCCCGGGGTGAGCGCGAAAGCTTTGCATCAACTGTGTGTGTGTGTATTTTGGTGAAGTGCCGCCGCGAAAGGGATCGGTGATGATTGGAAAGGGTGGATTCACGCGATACTTTAAACTGGGTCATCGACCTATCCCCCAACCTTCCCCCCCCCTCCCCCCTCTCTTTCTCTCGATCCGGACGATTCTTCTTTCGAACCTGGTCAAGCCTCTCTCGATCGTCGGCCATTTAACGCCACTTTTTTTCGAGTTTATTCGCGGAGACAATTTATTCGAAGGAAAGAAGACGACTCATTGGAAATCTATAAATCGGGGATTGCCGAGATACGAGTCGTGATTTATTATCGAGAGGAGGGGAAAGGAACACGAGTCGTCACGGCTCGGCTCGAGTCGGGAAGAAATTCGATTTATTAGCAGCGGAAGCGCGACTTTTCTATCGAGGTCCACGCCCTTTCATCATTCGCGCGACCCAGTATATACGAAATATTCGTGTTTACGGAATATTTTCCATGCCGCGCGCGCGGGGCCAACTCATTTTCCACGAATAATAGAATACGTACACGTACGAATCTGTTTGCGCCCCAGTTGGTCGCATGCGAGTAGACAATGCTCGGTGTACGCTCATTTGTCCATTGTCCATTCTTTCCGACGGTCGTTCCTTTTTTTTTTTTCCTTTTTTTTTCCCCTCCCTCGACCCTGGTGTTCCTCCTGGGGACGACCTGATTCCTCGATAAAGCCAATAAACCCTCGTCAACCGATGGCAGTGCGGTGTTCGCATTGGGACCCGTCCATAGACCACAGTGTTTCCCTTTGCTCCACCTCTCTCTCTCTCTCTCTCCACCGCCGCTCGCCCTTTTTCCCGCCTTTCTCCGCCGGCTCGCTTTTATTCGCGTATCAGCTCCGTCCTCCGAATTTATTTAACGAGCGGCTAATCAACGTCAAAGCGCACCGACAAAAAGGCCATTGTCGTCGTCCGCCCCGATTTTCTTCTGTCTCCTCTCGTCTCAGGAAGCTTCCAGCTTCTCGTTACGCGTACGAGGAAACGGCGGAAAGTTGGAGCCGCGTCGTTGGAATAATAGCGATAGGGAAGCGGTCTCTCCTCCCTCGTTTCGTTGAAATTACCGAGTCGAGTGTTTGCCAGAATCGAGGGAAATGTTGGCCGGATGAGTGTTTGCTTTGATATTGGCCAACTTTTTCCACCGGTTCCATTCTCTTCCTCTCTCTCACTCTCTCTCTCTCTTCTCTTCTCTCTCTGTGATTTTTAACACCGAACTCGGAAGTAACTCGACGAGAAAGGGGAGAAAGAACTGGGGGGGGAATTGCGTGGGAAACAACGTGTTCCTTCGCGATTGATCGGCCGGCTAATTCCGCGGAGGTATCCGCGCCGATCATCGGGAACTTTTTTAATTAAACCTATGCCGCGGGAGGGGATGGACGGCTCCCGTGGGGTGCGGGGCGTGCCACTTGGGAAATTTAATTTTCGAAAGAACCGATGAAATCGCGCCAAGGCGGTGGAGGGAAAATTCGGCCTGGATACGAATTCCACGGAGATGAACGTGGAAACCTGGTGGAAACGAATTTTTCATTCGAAAACGAACGACTCGCGTTCCTTTAATCTCTCTCTCTCTCTCTTCGAGGACTCAGCGTTTCGTTCTCTTCCTCCCGATCTTCTTCGATCGACGGGTCTAAGCGGTAAATAATTGAAATTGCCCACTGAAATTGACCGCGGAGGATAAACAGTTCGATTAGCCGAAAGTCGGCTCGAGAGACAGCTTCTTCCTTTTCCAGGGAACAGGGAAAAGTCGATAAATAAAGAATAGGAAGGGGGGGAAGGAAAAGGAGGCGGAGAATGGAATATAAGAGAAACGAGAGAGAGAGAGAGAGAGAGAGAGATGGCCTTCTTTAATGGATGGGTCAGAGGTTGTAAGGGATGGGTTGACGGAAAAGAGAAGAGTAGAATTGCGATTGGAACGGAGAAGGAGAGAGAGAGAGAGAGACGAGAGGATGGTCGGCGGTAGGTAGACTCGACGTGTCTGGCGAGCTGCACGAAATCGGCAACAAACATCGCCGCGAAAAACCTCCCCCTTCTCCCTTCCCAATCTCATCCGCTGCGAGCGGGCGGATAGGTGTTGGTGGAAAAGAGGCGAACAAGAAGCGAAACTCAATTTCGACCCGGCTCTTCCCGATCTCTCCGTCTTCCGCGAAGGCGAGGGAAAAGCGTTTCGCAGTCGTTTGTTTCAATATTTTTCAATCTGTATCCGTTCTCCACAGACACACGGAGAGAAACACGGCCAACCAAGTCGAGACGCGACACACTTTATCGGCCTCCCCCCTCCCTCCCCCCCCACGATTCCCTTTCATCGACTCGATAAATCGTATATCCGATGATTGTTCGATTTGTAATGATGATTCATAGGAACAACGATGATCGGTATACGTCGTATCCGGGGATAGGATTGGATGAGGACGAGTGAGGTCCGTCAGGGATTTAATTCTCGCGGGAAAGAAAAATCGATGGATGTTGGCTCACCTGCACGCTGGTTCACCGACGGTCTCGAAAAACAGGCAGGTACCACCGTTCATGCAAAAGTCTCCAGCTATCGGGCACGGCTGCTCCTGCCTCGGCCAGGCCGCCGTCGCTGCAACAAAATCGGAGAAAAAAACAATATTCATCAACGTTCGAATGCGCGTAAATATTACGCCCGATCTGTAAAAGAACTTTCCAGTTCCCTCTCTCTCTCTCCTCTCTCTCCTCTT